AGAGAGAGAGAGAGAGAGAGAGAGAGTGTGTGTATGTTAGAGTAAGAGTGTGTATGTATGTGCGTCTATGTGCATGTGTGTGCGTGTGTGCTTGTCTGTACCATTATATGAGCTGGGGAGAGAGATGGAGAGAGAGAGAGAGAGAGAGAGAGAGAAAGAGAGAGAGAGAGAAAGAGAGAGAGAGAGAGAGGAATAGAGAGAGAGAGTGTGTGTCTGTTTGAATGCACGAGTGCATGTGTTTGTGTGTACGTGTGTGAGCGCGCGCGCGCGCGTATATGACGAAAAATGGGATTGTGTGACGTGTATAAAAGTGTCCGTATGTGTGTGAGTGATTTTCGGTGTCAGGGTGCTTCATTGTATGTATATATATTATGTGTACACATGTATGTGTGAAAGAAGCAGAGTATTTGCATGTGGGTGTGTGTGTGTGTGTGTGTGTGTGTGAGTGTGTGTGTGTGTTTGTGTGTGTGTTTGTGTGTGTGTGTGTGTTTGTGGGTGTGCGTGTGTGTGAGTGTGAGTGTGCGTATGCGTGAGAGCGTGTGTGTGAATACAAGCCAGCATAATGCACTCCAGAATATGTGTTGGCTTGCGTGCTGGCCTTTACGCTGAGCGTGTATTCCTCTTAAGACAACCGTTAGTTTTAGTAAGTGTTTTACGGCATTTGCAACACAATTCAGTCATATAAGTGCCGAAGATTAGAGGTGTTGCTAGAGAGTAGGATACAAAGGAAAGGAGAAGACGAGATAAGGACGGCAGTTGTTCGATAGGAAAGAAGAAACAAACCGAACAAGAGCATCCGTCAAACACCCACGACAACAGACAAGATGACTCACGTGCGTGCTGTTTGACAGCATGCGGAGGCACGGGGGCTCCCTTGAAGGAACCCGTGAGGTCAGAGTGATGGCTCTTGTTGTCAATTTCCGGCAAGTCTGCTCCGATAGCGTAGCGGCCATGGTGGGAATCAAGCAGGGACTGAAATAGATGGCAACGTAATATTTAGAACTGTGTTTTAGTATCAGTAACAGATTTACTTACGTAATTACTTTACTTTATTCTTCCGCTTGTACCGTTGGGTGTCGCAGGGAGACACAGGCGTCTGTCTGAAGCAAGGTGAGTGGCCTGTAGGAGGGACACCCCGTGATTTACGGTACTAGCAAAACAATTACGTTATAAAAGTGCCAAAGATTAGAGGTGAGCTAGAGAGTTGGATACAAAGAAAAGGAGAAGATGAGATAAGGACGGCAGACGGTTGATAGGAAAGAAAGAGCAAAACGCAACAGAGTAACTGCCAAGCACCCATTTGGAATAGTTGTACAAGTTACAATGAAACAAGAAACACTGGAAATACTGTCGAAATTGTCTAAGGTCGGCCACCTATTGTCGAGGAAAGGTGGTCATGTTAAACAGGCGATTGTTTTACACAGTGAGTGTCATTGTAATGGAAATAAAAGTCCAGAAACGAGGAAATGGAAAGTGGTATTTTGTACTGCCTGGTGATTGTCTTATACAGGTGGCATTTTGGAGTAGGTTCAACTGCACTGCTTTGGACCCCTTTCTCAGTAGATTTTTGTTAACTACAAAAGCTCATGCTTTATCCACAGATTTTTAGCACATGTATTTACGTCAGGCTTTACTTAGTTTCAGTCCAGAGAAGTGCATCGACACGACAGCGGCAATATTATAACGCAGAGAAAAAGCATGACTGATGGACAGAAGTAACCGAGGGAAGCAAGAATAAGAACTAGGACGTGCTGGTGACGCCCTCAAACCACCCGCATCAGCAGGCTTAATTCGACACGTTCTGGGTAAACTGGAAAGCAGATTAATTAGTGACAACATAGTCTATCTCCTCTCCGTCGGTAAAACTTCCTAAAACCTCCACTTTTCGGACGTTGAAACTTACTGATCATTCAACACAACGTGCCTACATAAAAAAAATTCGATGGCAACAAGGCTAGAGGGCGACCGAGAAAGACCTGGATAGATGGAGTCAGGGAAACATTCACCACCCACGGCATCACCCTGACCCAAGCTCTCCGGCTGGCGACAGAGAGACGTCTCTTTCTTCCCGCGACACCCAAAAGGGTATAAGCGGCGGATAAAAGTAAAATTTAAGTAAGTAACTTACTGAAATCCTGTGTCAGAGATTGGGTTGAAAAAGTGTACGGTATGAACATTACCCCCTAGCAACACTATTAGGTTATTCAGAGCTTGGGTCCAAGGCTGATTGTATATATTTTACGCCTATATAGGCACCATTTAGATTATATTATTGTCATAAAATCATAATATGACTGTTCCCTTCGTTATACCCTCAGTTTTTAGTTTTAGTAAGAGTTTTACGGCACTTGCAAATAAATAAGGTCAAATACGTGCCGAAGATTAGACGAGTTACAAGAGAGTAACAAACATAAAAAGGAGGAGAGATCAGGACGATAAATGTATGATAGGAAAGAAGGAGCAAACCGCACCACAGCACCCGCCAACCACCCGCCTACCTCCCTGGACCAACTCAGGATGGGTCAGATCGAGCACCATGGATTGACACGGCAAACTTCTCAATAGGCAATTCAAAGTCCCGCCTTTGACGCGTGCGGTGGCTTTGTTTGTTTTGTTAGAGTAAAGAAGAGCACACTAATGGTTATTTGGTGATGGGAAAAGGTAAAACTGACAGACAGAAACATCGTAGGGAAAGTAAAGAAGCAGGAGCCAACAGAAGCAGGAGCCAACAGAAGCAGGAGCCAACAGAAGCAGGAGCCAACAGAAGCAGGAGCCAACAGAAGCAGGAGCCAACAGAAGCGCGTTCCGCCGGCACAAAACCAAAGCATTACACAATAGACGACAGGAAACCGAGACCTTGTATAATTTTTTGGTTACACCTAGCGATTTTTCGTACGATCGATAGATCGTCAAGCTTTTGTACAATTTATTGTTACGTGTAATGCTAGACTATGAAACTTTTAGCCATGCATGAGACATTTATGAGTCAAGATCACGAATGGAAAATAAGGACATAGTTATCTCAAAGAGCATTACAGCACCTGATGTCATCGCGTCCACACCTTCATTCCTTGATCTCAGCACAATGGGTTGATGTTTTTAAGCTCATTTCCAAGGGTATCTAACAATTTTTTCTTTACCCCCCCCCCCCCCGGGGGCGGTGCTACAGACTGAAGTGTCTTCAGGCCATTCCCAAAGGGCGGGGGGGGGGCATTAACCTGTTCTTATGCACAGTAGAATTGTAAATGGGCTGATTCATTAATGTCATGCTCATAGCTGTGCCTGAACTGCAACAGGGAACTGCTGCTTTTTTTCCCCTAGTCCTTACTATCGTCATTTTTCCTCTACTACTTTTATATGTTTGTCACATACTTGTGACTCGCTATTTCTGGGGTGTCTTGATAGTCGGGCAAAGCAGACTTTGTGCTGTTGAAGCTAGAGAGGTGACCAGAGTAAATCTGATTCTCTGTAAGGACGTCTCTGTTGACATCCACCCCTTGGCGCTCCTATGACTTTATGCAGTTGCGAGCGCCGTAAAACCTCTATTAAAACAAAAACAAATTTTTCTTAGAGACAATTGAAGCCTATTCGAAGACTTATTCGAGAATCAAACTATTAGACGTGTGTTTCAAGCTTGGCTTACCACATTGACTGTGAAGATGGCACTGTCGAGAACAAGTGACGGGAAAAAACCTGAGCCCAAACGTCGTAAATGGAAGACATCCGACTTCCGCTGCGACCTCTGGCGACAGTACCGAAGTCGGCGGAGACGTTTTTGGGTAAATATCCGCCCTGGCCTGACGTCTGCTATCGGGGGTAGGACGGTCAGAGTCATGTCCACAAACTACTCTCAAGTCTCAAGTCCAAGTCTCAAGTCTCACGTCTCAAGTCTCAAGACTCCGGGGCCAGTCGTGTGCTTGGTCCGGCTCGGGCATTGAGGTGAACTCTAAGGACAACTAGCCCGTGTTCCAGTCGTAGAAGATGTTCATTGCTTACGTGAGAGAACTAACTGCCTGCTTTACAGTCCCTTTAGAATATCCATTCTGATGGGGGGAAAAGCTGAATTCTGCCGATCACACTGTGCAAACGAGTGCATTTTTTAAATATTATTCTTATGGCAGTATAAATAATCACAAAAAAACACTTGTCTGCAGAACTGGGTGGCACGAGCGGGGGTTAAAAGAAGAGACAGACAGACAGACAGACAGACAGACAGACAGACAGACAGACAGACAGACAGACAGACAGACAGACAGACAGACAGACAGACAGACAGACAGACAGACAGAGAGAAAAGACACACAGAGAGAGAGAGAGAGAGAGAGAGGGGGGAGAGACAGAGAGACAGAGACAGAGACAGAGACATAGACAGAGAACAGAGAGAGAGAGAGAGAGAGAGAGAGAGAGAGAGAGAGAGAGAGAGGGGGGGGGGGGAGGGAGGAGAGGGGAGAAAGAAGGGGGAATAAGCAAGAAAGAAACGGGGAGTGAAAGACAGACAATGAAGTCGATCTAAAAATTCGTGTAGAAGTAACATTTGCAATCAATTTTAGACACATGCCACTGCGGGACGAGGAATCAAAATAAGCAAACTTGCGAACCAAGAGCAAATTAAAAATTCCAACTAAGTAAACTGTTGCGACACGAATCAAGACATCCATATTCCGAAGAAGACACACAAGGACAGCACCAATAACCTCGCTTCATCATTGTAACTTTCCAAGCGAGAGAAAAAGATATCCGTGTGGTATGGTGTAACGAATTATCACGAAAAACTCCTTGAGGCAAAACAGTCACAAAGAAAAAAACGAACGAAATATTCCGCAATCTCTTCGACGAGCTGTTGCGTGGCACTGAAATCACGGACCACAGAACCACTACCGATAAAGTCAAGTTCATTTGCCTGTGGGATAAAGCACGCACACCCCCCTAGGCTTTTAAACAGGGCCCTCTTTCACAAACTGGCTCTTTCAATAAGGAACACAAGGAAAGTATATTATGATTTAAATATCGCCTGGTAATCCCTGCACCTTTAGATTGGAACTGTTACGAAGAAAAGAGCAATTCCCCCAGCGTCAGTGAACCGTCACACCGTTCATTACCTTCCATTCAACAATTTCTCCACGATCATGGCACCAAGAGCGCGCAGGGAAGGGAGACGAGGACAAAAAGTAATTAAGGAAACGAACTATACTTAGTGCAGTTCTTTGGCAGCACACAGACACAGGCACAAAAACAACATACACACACACCCGCGCGCGCACACACACACACACACACACGCGCGCGCGCGCACACACACGCACACACACACGCGCGCGCACACACACACTCACACATAAACACACCCAAATATAGCCTACACACACATATACTCATACACACGTATACACGCAAACACGCATGTGTACGCTGCACGCACACACACACGCACACACACACACACACACACACACAAACAGACACACATAATATACACATATACACACACATAATAAATGAAAACACGCACACACGAATGCACATAGTGTGTATGTGCGTGTTTGTGTGTGTATGTGTGTGCGTATGCGTATGTGCGTATGTGAGTGTGTGTGTGTGTGTGCGCGCGCGCGCGCGCGTGTGTGTGTGTGTGTGTGTGTGTGTGTGTGTGCGTGCGTGCGTGCGTGCGTGCATGCGTACATGCAAATATAAAATTCCAGAGGTGAGACCTTTATCGCTCGTGCCCTGATTCCTGTCTTGCGCTTGCTCATTTTTCTTCGATTTTGATATAAATCAATTTAATCTCAAAACGCTGAAATCCCATCATCAAAGCGGGAGTCGGAACAAAATGAAACGGAAATTTTCTACGGAACCAGGGTTATTAACTGTAAGAATGTTGAGCTCGCAGGGAAAGATTTTCCAGCAGCCTTGAGAGCTGTGACAAATACTCTTTTTTCCTCATTGAGGACGCGTATTCTCACCATTCGACAACTCTG